TTATTATTATTATTATTATTATTATTATAGTTTAAAAGGAATAGTTTATTTTCTCACGATAAAAAGGTTATAGGTTTAGTTGCTAGCAATAAATATGTTTGTATTAATGCGTGTCTGAATTTACCGCAACGTCACAATCTTGCTTGGCAACCATGTGATGATTCTTGCGCACATGCGGTATTCAAGATGGCGGCGTTTTCCAATGTTCCAATCGTGGTGATGTGAACCTTCGTTCGAAACAGAATGCTTCCACATAAAACAACAACAGTTAGAACCATACTGTAACTGATATTATTTTTTTTTCGTGTTCTATTTTAGGATTACTATCTCTGATATCAAACGACAGCGAAATGAACGACCAGTTTCACGAGTCAACATTATGCGAGTTTCTTCCTTTCGATTTACTTAAGACGTTACTTTTCTTCAAGTTTAAACACTCGATAAAATTTCGGGCTACATGACTTAGGATTTCGGGCGACATGACTATGAATTTCGGGCAACATGACTCTGGTTTCGGGCGAGATGACTTTCGAGCGACTTGACCGTAAACCTACCAAAGAGAGTGTGAGTACTTTGATCACGATAAGCTCCGTTCTTCATTCTCATAGAAGGAGCATATTCCAATAGCCAATCCAGACTCCATGGTAAAACTTTTGATATCAGATGGCCACTAAAAAGAGATTCCGAAGTTGAAATTTCGAGCGTAAGCCCTTCGTCAAGGGCATAATTACTCTGGAAAACAAGCAATTGCCCCAATATGCAACTCATCTCTGGGAAAATAAAAATTCCAGTAAACTTAGAAAACCTGAATTCCTTCAGTTTCTCGAAATGAGTAATATTCAAATTTATTGTCAGAACCACAGAACAGAACAGAACATTCGTCTTGGTATCTACCTGTCCTCCCCGCTATCGTTAGAATGATTATGATTATAAATTTGTTTAGGCATAGTTCTACTCTCCTTGTTTGTCTTATTTAAGCAACTTAACTGGACTGGAGGCTGACTCGGAAACTTAATAGTTCTTTTACCCCAAAGCTCTTCTTTTATTTCTATTTCTCGGTGTGTACTTTCTATCCTCTATGATAAAAATCTGTAAATGCACAAAAATGAATAAAGTATTATTGTTATTAAATGGATATGGAACTCAGTCTTCAAATTACCAAAATGTAAAGGTAACTCCATGATTTGTTTTAATGAATTTCTTGACAAGATATCACAGGAGAGCGCCATCATTATC